TCTCTCTCTCCCTGTTCACATGGACACTGGACCCCCGCCTGGCGTGCCCACCTCTCCGCGGCACACGGAATCTATCAAAAATCTTGTAGTTTTGTCTGCAGTACGTGTCCCCCGCGGCCCGCTCGTCATCCAAGAGATCCTTCCGTCGGTGCCAGGACTCGGCCTCTGGCCGCCCCGGCTCTGCCACGGCCGCCGGGAACTCCCCCACGTCGCTGTCGAAGCCGATGCACTCCTGTCGGTTATAGATGCTTCTGTGCACAAACCGCAACCGCTCCGTCCCGTTGGAGAAAGGACACACAAATTTTACTTGCTTCAAGAAACGTGCAGTGGAGTCACGAACGGTGGGGTCACGCGGGTGGCCTCCCGGGATAACGTCGATCGCGACGCCACCGATCGCAACAACCTGGGGGCTCCCTGAGGGCTGCGGGTCGCAGTGACACCTGCCTCTCCTGCCTCCCTCCGGCTACCACCACTTCGCGGACTCATCTTCCATCTGCCCAAGGCGGAGGGGCCCTCACAGGCGGTAAAAATCCCTCTGATCCGGCCATTTGGGTTCCTCTCCCCGACTGTGAGCAAGGCTGGAGAGCTCCAAACCAGAGGCCCAGGAGGGACAAGGACCTGCCGCATCACTGCCTCCTGTGCGCCTCCTCCTGGAAGCCTCCGCCTAAAGACCCTCCCTCTGCTTCTGCCTCCCATCCTAAGCTCTATTCCCACTTTACACAGGATCCACCGCCTTCACTCTCTAAATAAGTCCTTAGTGCTGACCCTGTGCCAGGCCTGTCCTGTCCCCCTGAGAATTCAAGCATGGGCAAAGCACATCTTCCACCTGTTCACGAACCTTCAAGTATAGTGAAAGTGACTACAAAACACAAACACACAAGAATTCATAGGGAAATGAGAATGTCAAAAGAGAAGTGTGGAGCTCCAGAACAGAGAATAACAGGAAGATCTAAATTACACTAGGATGTCAAAAGAAGGAAGGACTCTCTGAAGAATAAGAGTTAAGATGTAGGCGGGCTCGGGGGCTCAGCCTGGAATCCCGCGCCTTTGGGAGGCTGAGGTGAGTGGATTGCCTGAGCCTGCGGGTTCGAGACCCGCCTGGGCAGCCA